TTTGGCATCGACCGCGCTAACCGGCTGACCAATGAAAGTGCGTGTGTGTCTTCATCCTCCCGTTTTGTGTAGACTACTTTACGACAAACACACGCACGCACACACATGCTTGACCAACACAGGCATAAAGAAGCCTCGTGATTTTACGAAGATCCTCACGTCAAGCACCGTCGAATTTGCACACACGGAATTAGGGTTGCATTGCTTTCGTCTTCCGGTTTTCGGAGTGTGCGACGCCACGAGAGAGGGAAATACGCTGCGCTGAGAATCCGACTTGCCCGCAAAACTTACGTGTCAAGCCAGAGCCACACTTTCGTGTACTCGGCCTTGTAGCTCTTGCACTTGGTTAGGACGGTCGACGGTTTCTCCATGAAGGTCTTCGCCTTGGAGGTGCCTGCGATACATTTCAAACGGCAACAGCGCGTGTGGGAGCAAGAGGAAGTCCGCTATTTGTGTGCATTTTTGGAGGCGGAGCAGCACCTTGTCTCGTGTTGAACGTGTCGTCAACGTGTGCCCTCTTGCCTCTGATTCAGGCATGGCAACGAATTCGTTCGGGGCTGGAATATCTATACAAGCAGAGGTGTTGTCGACTAATAGTGCTGTTTCCGCTGCTGCTGCTGCTGCTGCTGCTGCGGGTGGTGTCGGTGTGTGTCTGTCTGCGTCTCCACCCACAAACAAATCGCAGACGTCCCGGAAACTCATGGCTTAGACTTCCCCTTTTTCAGAGAGTAACGCCAGACATCTAACACGCATCGGCCGCGAACCATAAACCACATGCATGCATGGAGACACCGTTGGAGGGAGGTGAATGGTTTCGCGAATACTCCTGCTGTTGGCAACAAAACTTTCGCGAATACCACTACTGCTGTTGCCAGCAAAACGAACCCTGACTCCAACCCGTGTTGCAAAAGGTGCCTAGAACTATCCATAATCCTCAACATAGCAGGTGGCAGGTGGATCGCTGGTACTGCCACTCACGAACACCACACGTGGTGCACCTGCAACCGCTTGATCAAAATTATCTACACTCCTCTTCAGATAATATATGTGCGTCGTACATGCCAAAATGCCAGCTCCGGTCCAATCGACCTCTCCCACAGCACCTGTATTTCTTATTCGGTGGACAGAAAAGGCCCGCAAGTGCGTCCTTTCACTCGCATGGCATGCCTACTCTAATGCTGTGTTCGTGAGAATGCATACGTCTGCATCAAATTCAAGCCGTGCAACTATTTGCTACATTCCACATGATTGTCGGGCGTGCCATCACACGACCAGCACAACACAACATAAGTCTTCGGTACGTGTCACGAATTGATGTAGCCACATTAGATACACACCTGAACCAAGGGTCGTGTAGTACACCATGTCCTTTCACTTGTGAGGCATCTGCAGCGGCCCGTCCATGGTGCTCAGGGCGTACTCGATGAGCTTGATGAAACCACGAACCGCGATCTCTTGCATGCACTTTGAAGCTGCCAGGTTTCACTGTGCTGCAGACATCTTGTCTGCCTCCTTGACTGCTAGAGCAGAGTGGACGAGTGGTATCGGCTGAAGCATCTTGAGGGCAGGCTGGGTCATGGTCTTGTTGCCGTAGGTGCCGCAGAACTTCCGTAAGGCGAACATGACGTCCTCCGAGAGATCGATGAGAAGCATGGGCGCCTCCTGTGACTTAGAGAAATCGACTGCCATCGTGATTTGCGGGATGCTGCTGTGTCGAACTCGGAGACCACCGGGGTGTGTGCGTGACGTGTGTGTAGTGTGGCGTGTGTCTGGCGTGTGTATGTGTATGGGCGTGGAAAGTGATAACTACAGTTGTGTGCGCCAGCTGGTGCGCGCGTGTTGCTCGTGAGAGAGAAGGAGGCCCCGTGCCGCGTGCTTTAAAACGAACCAAAACGCCTCCGAAACTCACAGTCCCGCCGAAGATTTTTTTCTCGTTCCCATAACAGCGGTACTCAAATCTTCCTCTGACAAATATTCGCACGCAAATGTTTGAAAACATTTGAAGATTTTTTTCAAAGATTTGGTGACCATAAACATGGGCCTTAAAGTAAAAAAAGTACTACTTTAAAAAAAATCTAAAAATAAAAAAATCTAAATAATTAATAAATAATATAGAATTGAATAATATCCACAGTTTTAAACGTATTAAAAAAAAGCATAAATGAATATAATGTAGGTAATCACCCCAAGCAAAAAAAATCTATTACTTTCTAATCCACCAAACCCATCATCATTTGTAAAAAATGTCAATATAATTTGCATTTTCTTCTTCTATATTATTACCAGTTCTATTAATAACAATAGCATTTGTTTTATCGTAATTTCCAGATGCATTCATACTCACTAGTTTTTCAAAATGCTAGAAAAGCATTTTGACGATCTTCAATGACAGACGACCGGAGAAGTAACGTAGAAAATAACGGGGGTCGAGCAGGCTTCGGGAAGGGTACGGGTTGCGGAGGTATGTGTCCACTCTTGCAGGGAGAATTATCCAAAGTCGGAAGTAGGCGAACAAGTGTATTAATTTTAAGAAATAATTTTGAAAACGGTGAAAAGATTAATAACAAGAGGGTTTCTCAAGAAGCTAGATCATTGGGTTGTTTTTGCTATTTTCAAATTATCATAATCTACATCATAATATAATTTTGAACCAATATCTGAAATATACTTACGTTTCATCCGTTATTGGATATGTATTATTTTCACTTAAATCTCTGGTATCACACACATTGCTTAATGTATTTTGCTCATAAGTAACACCTCTTTATGTCTTAATGATAAACTTGAAAACTATCCCAAGATACGTAATGTGTGGCAGGGAAGACGAAGTAAAAAAAATAAAATGGAAGAAAAGAAAAAAAGATGATACCAACAACCACTTGTAGCTCAGCTCCGCCTCTGCCCTATCCCGTTCCCCTGCCCCAAATCACGACCGACATACTGTTGTGGTGGGTACCGCCCTCGAGATTAGGTGATTACGGATTTCTTCGACCAGGTCAAGTCCCGCAGCAAGGGTTACGCCTCCATGGAGTACCAGATCCTGGAGTGGCGGGACCAGGACCTGGTGCGGTTGGACATCAAGATCAACGGGGAGGACGCGCCCCCGCTGTCGACGGTGTGCCACAGGGACCAGGCGCATCAGAGGGGTAAAGGTGAGGGTCTCGTGTGCATGCGTGGTTGTGTTTTTCCTCCAGGCGCATCAGAGAGGGGGAGGGTTGTTTGCATGCATTTGTTGTTTTTTTTGGTCATGGTGAATAAGGCGGCGGGTTGGTGTGTTCGTCCCGCCTTGCCGTTGTTGAGCCGTGCACCACTAGACGGCGGGTACGTTGCGTACCTTGCTATGTTGTTGTAAGTGTGTTGGTGTTTTCGCGATGAATTATTGTGTTCTGGCGGCTTTCAAGCTTGTGGGTTTGGGTGTGAAATGTGTGTTTGTGTTTTTCATTTTTCGTCTGAGCTTTGTTTAGCGTCTCGACCGCGCTAAACGGCCAACCAACAAAAATACGTCGGTGTAATGCATGCAGCTGGATGAAAAAAGGGTGCGTGTGTCTTGTGGGTGCGGTTGCACCCCAACGGCCAAGACCAAGAAAACAAGATGAGGGGTGTGCGAACACTACAAGGCTAATTGTCGCGCCTTCACCTTCCCGTAGCTGGACTCTCTCTCTTTTTTGCGGTGGCGATGTGCCGTGCGCGGCGAATTTCCAGGCGGCACCGCCCACCAAAGCAGTGGACAACAAAAAAGTTCCATTTGTAGGTTACATGCACCAACCAATCGCATCCAAGAATGGGCCTAAAGTCTGTTTCTATCGAACTACCGCACTATTTTGGGGGGGCGTCTTCCTGGCTGGAATCTGCCGCCTTTGTTTAGAAGATTCGTTTGGCTTGCCGCGAGGGCTTGCGAGCACACACGGGAACACCCCGGACAAAGATGTGCGTCTCATCTCAACTCATCTTCTGTACTGCAGCCCCTACAATAGCGTTCTCTTGCTCCGCCTTCTCTTGCACGGAAGCGCTATATATCTCATTGTCCACGTCCATTGTTTTGCGTTTGATTGGTGGCATCCTGTTTGTTTCTTCGCTCAGTGCTGACGGAAAAGCTCAAGCAGCTGATCCCGAGGCAAATGTTCCGGGTGCCGATCCAGGCCTGCATCGGGGTTAAGGTATGAGTAAGACCGCGGCAGTCTCGTGATTATCAAGTCTTGCGTCGGTTGTGTCGTGAGGAGGGGATCGGTGTCAAGAATTAAGCATCGGCGGGGCAAGAACTTCTACCGCCTGATGGCGTAGTGTATTCTGTGAATCCCCCGGATCGTAGCTCTTGAGTTCGGAAACCCAAAGTAGCAGAGGAAATGCGTACTTGTTTTAAGTGTTTTATTTATTTTTTATTGATAAGAAATGAAACATCCCGAAGGTATACCCGCGCTTTCGTGTTTTTGATGTCGTGTTGCATATGTATCCGCCAAGAGGAAAAATGAAAAATGCCACCATTTTTCAGCATACCTCGAGACAAGACCGCTAAAAACACCATGTTTTACATTACTTGCGGTATGATATGCGTAGTGGCGGTTGCAAAGGGGCTTAGCGAGAAACGACCCTCCGCTTTGTTGAGGCCGCAGCCGCGCGTGCTCACCACCCCCCCCCCCCCCCCCCCCCCCCCCCCCCCCCCCCCCCCCC